TAAGGCAATGATCATGAATATAGGCATCACGTCCATGTCAAGTAGATCGAAATGATTCTGCATCTACTACATTACTCCACACATCGACCGCTATCTAGCATGCATCTAGAGTATTAAGTTCATAAGAACAAAGTAACGCATTAAGCAAGATGACACGATGTAGAGGGATAAACTCAAGAAATATGACATAAACCCCATCTTTTTATCCTCGATGGCAACAATACAATACGTGCCTTGCTGCCCCTACTATCACTAGGAAAGGACACCGCAAGATTGAACCCAAAGCTAAGCACTTCTCCCATTGCAAGAAAGATCAATCTAGTAGGCCAAACTAAACCAATAATTCGAAGAGACTTGCAAAGATATCAAATCATGCATATAAGAATTCAGAGAAGAACCAAATAATATTCAAAGATAATCAAGTTCATAAACCCACAATTCATTGGATCTCGACAAACACACCGCAAAAGAGTATTACATCGAATAGATCTCCAAGAACATTGAGGAGAACTTTGTATTGAAGATCAAAGAGAGAGAAGAAGCCATCTAGTAAATAACTATGAACCCGAAGGTCTGTGGTAAACTACTCACGCTTCATCGGAGAGGCCCTAGTGTTGATGTAGAAGCCCTCCATGATCGATTCCCCCTCCGGCAGATCGCCGGAAAAGGCCCCAAGATGGGATCTCATGAGTACAGAAGGTTGCGGCAGTGGAAAAGTGGTTCCATCGCTCCCCTTGATGTTTCTAGGGTATAAGGGTATATATAGGTGAAAGAAGTACGTCCGTGGAGCTCCGTGGGGCCCACGAGGGTGGGGGCGCGCTTACCCCCCTGGGCGTGCCCTCCTGCCTCGTGGCCACCTCACGGAGTTCCAGACTTCCACTCCAAGTCTCCTGGTTTGCTTTCGGTCCAAGAAAGATCATCGCGAAGGTTTTATTCTGTTTGGATTCCGTTTGGTATTCCTTTTCTGTGAAACACTAAAATAGACAAAAAAATAGAAACTGGCATTGGGCCTTCGGTTAATAGGTTAGTCCCAAAAATAATATAAAAAAGCATATTAAAGCCCATTAAACATCCAAAACAGATAATATAATAGCATGGAACAATCAAAAATTATAGATACGTTGGAGACGTATCAGGCTCCTCCAATTTGTTCTTTGCCTCAGGCCTCCTAATACATGTGAGAAAGAAAGCAATGCAAGTTCTCCTTCTAATATTAATGATCAAACCTACAAAAATGTTTCGCAAACCCTATTCTAAACTGCCTGCCTCATGAATTGCCTAGGACATCACTAGTGACATATGTATAGCCACGGTATTAATGGTAAGATTGGACCTTATTTTAAAACCTACAAGGGACTGAGATAGGTGATGCTCTCTTTCCTTTGCTTTTCGATTTAGCTGCAGATGCCCTAGCTATTATTACGGAAAGGCCAATGTTAATGGTTTTTAAAAAGGGGTTCTTGCCGAAAAGATTTCTCATGCAGCAAACATGCTACAAATGTTGATGATACAACTTTCCTACTACAAGATGATGTTGATTGTGCTAGGAATCTGAAATTTATTCTGGGTGCTTTTGAGCAGATGTCTGGAATCACAGTTAACTTTCATAAGAGTGAGTTGTTTCTCTTTGGTGAGACAAAAATAAAATGAATAATTATGAGGAGATATTTACTTGCAAAATGGGAGGGCTACATATGGAATATTTAGGGATGCATATTTCTATGTCAAAATTAGAAACAAATAGATAGCTAAAAGATGTGCACGTTGGTAGGTCAAACTCCTGGGTTCAATTCCTGGGCGAATTACCCTAGTTCAAGCTTGTTTGACTAACATGCTTCTCTTCATGATGTCATACTATTCTATTCCATAGGGGGCTTTGAAAAAAGTTGATTTCTTTAGAGACAAGATAGTTTGGCAAGGACATGAAGACAAGAAAAAAATGTCACTTAGATAATAGGAAAATCTGCTGTAAGCCTAGAGATCCAGGTGCCTTGGGCATTCTTAATTTGGAAATCATGAACAAAGCTTTACTAGCCAAATGATTTTTGAAACTTGAAACTGAAAATGGGCTCTCGTAATTTGTCTTACTTAACAAATATGTGCTTGATGGATGTTTTTCTATGGCAAAACCCAAGGTTGGTGATTCACAATTCTGGGTCAACATTCCGAATGTCAAAAAATATACTTTATCAGTTTTATAGATGGAGGTTGGGTGATGGGCATAGTGTTTGATTTGGGGAAGATGTGTTGGGTGGATGATACGACTTAAAAAATGATTATCCCAGACTTCACCTACTCAACTTTGACCATAATATTATAGTGGTTGAAGCTTTGCAAAAAGGATGGGGAGGATTTAAGTTTAGAAAGACTTTGTATGAGGAATCGCTAGAATTGTGGAGAAACCTTAAATTGAGATGTGAAGGGACTGAAATGGGACCAGGAAAAGACCAAATTGAGTGGTCTTTAATCGGTAACAAAAAATGTCAAGTCACTTTAGTGGAAAATGATTGAGGCACACTCTCACTTCCCACAGAAATTCCTGTGGAAAGTAAAAATTCTCCTAAAATCAAGTATTTCTTGTGGTTGTTGGCCAAAAAAGGTATTCTTACTAAGAACACTTTGGTGAGGAGAGGTTGGAAAGGGAGCAAATTATGTGTCATCTGTGGTAAAGAGGAGATGACTGACCATTTGTTTTTCAATTGTTCCGCTGCTACTTCGGTTTGGAGTCTTCTAAAATGTGCTTTTGGTTTGAATTCGGTCCCTTTCTTTGTTGAGAATTGCTTTGGGAGATGGATTAAAACTTTCCCAAAGATTAAAAAAAATGGTTGGTTCTAGTTGGTGTTTCTCCGCTATTTTGGACACTGGAAATGCAGGAACAACATCATTTTAAAAAGAAACTATATACTGGTCTAATGATTCTCATAAAGCTAATTTGTTTTTGGATCGTTGGCTGGACAATTCTGCGGATGGGGAAGGAAAACATAGTGGTCTTGATGGTAGTAGCAAAGCTGATAGAGCGAGTAGCAAATGAAGTATTACAAGTCATCGCGGGGCTGGAGATATGGGGTACTACGAATTGGTGGCTAAAATCTAAAGAAGGTCTCTCTATCAACGATGTTCTATCTGCTTTAATCGTTGTTGTTCTACCTTGGCTTCGCCTTTCAGCTCTACCGCCTCTCCTTTTGGGAGGAATATGGCTAGTTGGCTCATTCCTAGACCTTTTATGCCTTGAGCTGCGTCATTGTAATATTGTGTAGTTACTGGCAGGTGTTTGCGGTGTTGCTCACCTGTTCAGGCTTGCCTTTCCCGGCTTCTATTGCTCGGCTTGGGCGATGCGTGGGAATGTTGCTGCATGTTGAACTTTGCTCATCTTCCTTTTTTTCCCTTTCTGGGTAGTAGTTTGTATCAGACTTTGTATCAGATGGTTTCTTGGGTTCTTTCAGTTAAAAAAAAGTACAATCGTGATTGTCATATTATTGACAATCTCAAAATAGATATGATCACAGACTATTAATCCGCTATTTACCGCCATATTAACTTGGCGATATTACTCTGTGAGTCATTATCCAAGAATGGTTGAATCAACCGTAATTTTGTTAGGGCATCTCAAATGTGGATAACCAAAAATGTCCATGGACACGTTCAAACGTGTCTATGGATAGTCGGTCACATAGAGATCATCCAATCGGAGTCATCAAAAGATCATGAACACCAAGCTTTTAGCTCGCGTGATTGCTGGTAGACTGATACGGTTTGAATGCGCAAAGGGTTCTAAAGAGAGTTTTGAGGTAGGTCCGGGGTGTCGAAGTCGGACATGACGGGCGTCCGAACTCTCCGAGAACTCCACCAATTTGACGTCGGTTTGCGTGATTTTGGACGTCTAAGCGGGTCCAGCCCAATTTCATGTTAAGAGGCCTAAAATGTTCGGCGTTTAGATGATTCAAATGCCCTTAAACGGTTAGCAACTGCCCTCCACCTCAACTGCCACTGACACACGCCAAAGGGCACACGGCCATACGGCAAGCCACACGCAGGCGAGGCCAGCTCGAGCAGAGCTTTGCCCACGCGGGTCCGCGAAGCCTGGAGACGCCCGTGGCCGTGGTCAGTGCTCACGGGCCGACCTGCCGCCGTGCGCGGGCGCGGCGCTGCTCCGCCGCTCCTTCGGCTGGGCGCATGTGATCCCGGTCAATCGAACCCGCAGCCTTTCTTATCCACCACCCTATCTCCCTTCACCTGTCACTGCCGGCGACCGAGACGGACACCGCCCCGCCCGGAAAGACACCGAGCTTTCGCGTCGCGTCGACCATATCTCCAGAGAAGATTCAAAATCCAGGGGAGGAAAAACTGAAGAATCTGGCCGGAAAATTGAAGGCCACCAGTGGTAGTAGGTCGTATCTGGGGCACCAAATGGAGGGGGGAGGAAGCTGAGCCTTGTGTTTCGTTGCCTGCAGCCCTGCACTACCACGACAGCAACGCCCGACCACAGCCGCTGATATGACATCCCAAAGAACCAAATCCAGCAACACAACACAAAATTGGCGGGCAAAATCGCTTTGTCTTGAGCTGCTCGCCGAGAGGGGCAGATCAAACCAAGCAGTCAAATCGAAGCTTGGAGCACCAGAAAAATAAATTTTAAAGAGAAAATGTTGCACAAGGAGGGGGCCGTGGAATGAAATGAAGAACAGGATCAAAGGCAACTTTCATTAACCATTAGATCAGGTAGAACAATGCAAGGACCCCTTGTTCTTGGACCAATTTGGCTACTTACGCAGGTAGAAACAGTACGCACTCGTACGAGTTACGACAACGAGTAGAACAATTAATAAGACGCACCACACAGATCGCTCGCGCGTAGCGTACGGGATGCTCACTAATTACAAAAATCTCCCAATCAGCGGCGACGCTAATGAACAAGAAACGCGAAAGGCACTGGCAGCTTCGGCCGGACTAAGACGGGGATGGGATGGATTAAACGGCGGGGGTTAATTGACGCCGGCAGCTTAGTAGGAGCAGGCGGTCCTGAGCATGGAGCGGCCGCGGAGCATGCCGCGGTACAGCGCCTCCCGGTTCGCCGGCATCGCGGCGCCCCTGCAGGACGGCCCCGGCCCCGACGCCACCGCCTCCTCCACCTCCGGCGCCGGGCGAGCTGGGCCGTGGTCAACGACGTCGGCGGCGAAGCGCACCCGCTTCATGCTCCCGCGCCGCGCCTTCTCCCGCTTCCGCTTCTCTGCACGCACGGAGAAAGAAAGAAACAGGGCACACATGTAAGAACCAAGAACCAAAAACTGTGCTGTGCGGACGAATGAAGTAACGAACGGCAGGGCTGTGGAGGTGCAGGTGCTGCGCCACTCACCGGAGGAGGAGAGGCAGGGCCGGAGCCGGGCGGGAGACGGGGACGTGGCGGCGGCGTCGGAGGAGACGAGGTGGTGGTCCGTCTGCTTGGCGCGGCAGAGCGAGAAGAGCACGAGGGTGCCGGAGAGCGCCATGGCGGTGGCGGCGAGGGCGAGGCCGGCGTGGGAGCCGCCCAGCGCGGAGCCCGCCGCCGCGGTGGACGACGACGACGACGACATGGCACAGTGCGGCGCAGATCACAGGCTCCCGTGGGAGACGGAGAGCAGAGACCCGACGACGGCGACAATCGGGGGCGGTGGGCTGGTTGTTGCGTCCTGTGAGAGGGAGGGGGGACCGTGCAGTGCTCGTAGGCGCGCGCGCTGCTCCGGCTATAATATAGCGCGCGCGGCGGCTGTGAGAAGGGCGAGCGACCTTGGTGGCCGTTGGGTCGGGTCGCGGTGGTCACGTTTGTTTAGTTTTTTTTAGGGTGGTTTATCGACTGGCAGAAGTTACCTGGAAAGATGCTGGAGATGGGGCTGGGATCATTGGAGTGGGGGCCGAATGGTCATTTCGTAGTTGCTGCGTGACATTACAAAATTATTACCGCCACAAAATTAAAGCCCGCTTTTGGCGAAGAAAGGCCTGATGCTCGTGCTCATCGCCGTCTGATATCTGTGACATGGACTGTACACAATTCTGTGAAGTGTCCACAATTGGCCCAAAAGGTTCCCAACGTTCATGAACTGCTCGACTCGATCGAGCGAGCTCACTGGATGCTCGTAGGCTGGTGGAGAGAAGACCAGAAACCACACGCCTCAGAACTCTCCACACGATTAATCTATGCACCCGACGCCGTCGGCCGGGTCCGTCCGGCGCATGCAGCCCCCACCCCACCCCACCTATCCCGATCCTATCCAACGGCAGAATCCGCGCGCATATTCCTCCAATCCACGGCAGTGGCCTAACCAAACCACCCAGCGTCATCCGACAATTAGTGAGTAGAGTATATCCATCCATTCAATCAATCCGGCCCTCGTTGCTGCCGGAGAGCGCTGTCGCGTGCGGTGGCTCTGCCTCTGCGCTGCGTTGCTTCCAGGGAGCGCAACTTGTGCCTTGTGCGCGCGTACGTACGTACGTCGACGGGGACGCAGCCGAAAGAGCCCGCGCTTTGGAGCTAACGAGAACGAACGAGGGCCCTATTTTTTTATTATTATTTTTTTTAACGCTCGCACTCAGCAGTCGAGTAACGAGGGTCCTGTTAAGAATGCGCTAGTGGCTGGCTGCTGGAATATCCGCTGGATCCCGTTTCCCTCTCCCGGCCGGAGTGACGATGGCGTAAAAGGCATCTGGAGTCATTAACTTAGTAAAAGGCATTAAAGTACCGCGAAAGACATGACATGTCACTCTCTCTGGCCGCCATCTTTTAACCTTTGCGTTGTGCTGATGCGAACATGCAATGCAGGGGACCAATTTGCCATTGTACTTTCTTCTCTCAACTTTTCTTTTTACCATGCTTTAAGAATAGAAAAACATGCATTATTATTATAACTCGAGACAATGGAGTAAAGGTCACAAAAGCACAACCGTCACGATATGCATGTCATCAAGGCATTAGTTAATGATTCTTGAAGAAAAGAGAGGGAACATCTAAGTGATTAAGAAGAAGAATCCTCTAATTAATTAGCACACAAACATCAGAATGGAGTACATATTTGTATTAGATTCGCCATATGGGTGTATTTTTGTGACAATTAATCGCCATATGGCGAATCTAATACAAATATGTGTCGTAATGGGTGTATTTTAGTGACAATTAATCAAAAAATTCCAACACAAATACATATTTGTATTTTTCTAGGTGACGTTCAAAAGAAATATTTGATACTAGGTTGTACCAAGATATAAGATGATTTTCCAGTTTAACTTAAACTACAAAAACATCTTATATTTTGATACGAAGGGAGTACTTCATCTGCTCTCTCCACAATTTACACCTCTTCATATTCATTATTGCGCAAATTGCCATGTTCCAAAGCGCAAATAGGACCGTAGTCATTTAGAACACACCTGCACGGTCTTCAGTGTTATTTGACTGCATCGAAAAAGGCTTTTACTTGACTTTTCAGATAAAACACCGACCATCATACAACCAAATATAGACACGCAACCACAACACACGCACACACCCAAGACCATATACATAGGCACTGAATTGGCATGAAATTGGCAACACCATCCCATACAACTCCAAGCTAACATCAGGTTGATAATAAGCATCACTATGAGTTATCAGGGCCCTCACGCATGAAAAAGCCACCGCAATGAGATGATGCCGCGTATGACGAACCATGAGATTCAAGACGGCACCTTCAGGAAGGTCATGACACCGGACCGCCGCCACCACCTGATCCACAAATTAGGATTTCTCCCGAAGCAACACAACGGACAATTAGTAACCACAATGATGCCTTCAAGAAGGGACGACAACGAATCGCCGCTGCTAGCGGCCTAACTGAAGTTAGAACGGGTTTCACCCCTGCCAGCAGTCACCAAAATGTGGTACGGCCTGCCGCCCAACCACCATCAAATGCCACACCTCGGTCACTATACCCCCCCCCCCAACACAACCATGGCCACCAAATAGCACCTGAGCCACAGGCTCCACCGATGAGCATCCCGGCTCCCACCACTAGGGCCACCGCCCGACATCCGATACCCCCTACCATTATCACAACATATAGACGTCATCGGCCTACAAGGGGTAGAAGACCCCCTCCCTCCCCATTAGCGATTTGTTGGAGGAGTTGCGATCTTTTCCGATCCAAATCATCATGGTTTCTGACGGAGTTTTGGTGGAGGGCCGCGAGATCCCTCTCGGCGCGCTCACGTTCATCGCCGACGACTCCGCTTGGCTTCAGGAGGCTCCGCTCGACGTCGACGCACTCCCTGTCCGCGGGGCAACACACTTTCGCGCGTGCGTTCGCGGCATCCTCTTGCGGCAACCGTCGACCCATTATCGGTCGGCCTCTGTGTTGTCCTCCCTCCCCGTTTCCCGCCAGTGCAAGCGCTCCGGTCGGTCGAGACTTCAGCGGTGGGTGAGACACGCGGTGGCACGCCAGTCGGCCACCCCTCAAGTCGCGGCGATCGAGCCCGACGAATCTCTCTACGGCCTGTTCGACCTGTCGACTGGCTCCGCAGAGACCGCATCCGAGTGCGACAGTAGTGATCCGGCGGCGGAGGTTCTGATGGTCGATGGACCGCGCAGTCCTCCCGGTTTTCACCGCATTGACGGAGGCGCAGGTGGAGGCGACCCGTCGCATCCCCATGAGGAATATCTCCCCGAGCCTCTCACGTCGCTGCAGAGAGAAGAACTTCGTCGCCGGAATATGGATGCACTACACACTCCTATCGTTGGAGAAACCCCCGAGGCTCGTGCCTTGGAGGACGCGCGCCTGGCAAACTTGGCTAAGCGCACTCGACTGAAGAACCTCCAGCAAGCACTCGACGAGCGTGCGCGACAATGGGTTCCAGAATCCAGTCGACGTCAGCTCTTTCCGCCCCCGCAGGTATATCGAGCTCCGATTCAGAATTTAGCAGTTGCAGCCCGTATAGTAGAGTCGATTCAGCCTTCCCAGTCAGAGGCTGGCAGAGGCTTGCTGCAGATCAGAGCGTTACTCCGGGCAGCAGGAGACCAGAATTCCGCTGTTTCTCAGTCGCGGAACAGGATTCATAGCAGACCCATTGCTGCAGACACAGTCCAGTCGGCTCATAGCCCAAGATCGCCCTTGAGGCGTGAGGAACGTGGGGACCGGCGTGATCAGTACGGAAACCGTGAGCACTATGATCACCGATTCGATCGTGACGATCAACGTCGAGTGCCCACCCGTCCCCTGAGGAGTGGATCGTATGTGCCTCGACAGCAGGATGACAGGCGCCCTCATAGTGTTGGGCGAAGGATTCCAGTCGACCCAAGGGAACCAGGCTTTGATGCGAGATCCATTCTTGTTCAAGGTTTGGTCGACAGGAACAGAACTCACCGAGAAGGTCACGACAGAGATGGACCTACCAGCAGCAGAGTACATGTTTCGGGGCCAGAGTGCTTTAGTAGAGCCATCAGGGCCGCTGTGATTCCTCCCAACTTCAGGTTGGCGACTGGAGTCAGTAAGTTCACTGGTGAGTCCAAGCCCAATACTTGGCTTGAAGACTACCGAGTGGCTGTCCAGATCGGCGGTGGCAATGATGAAGTGGCCATGAAGCACCTGCCTCTCATGTTGGAGGGCTCGGCCAGAGTGTGGCTGAATCAGTTAGCACCCAGAAGCATTTACACTTGGGAAGATCTCGCCCGAGTGTTTGTCACCACATTTGAAGGAACATGCAAGCGACCGGCAGGGCTGACGGAACTGCGGTCTTGCGTGCAGAAGCCGAATGAAACTTTGAGGGATTACATCCAGAGATGGATCATGTTACATCACACGGTAGAGATTGTGCCTGATCACCAAGCAGTCTGTGCCTTCAAAGAAGGTGTCAAGTACAGAGAACTGAATCTGAAATTCGGTCGAACCGGAGACATGTCTCTGAATCGGATGATCGAGATTGCCACCAAGTACGCTAATGGTGAAGATGAGGATCGACTCGGAGTGGCAAGCACAAGTCAGTCGCCCAAGAAACCGGAGGAGGAAATTCCAATCGAAAACAAAAGCGGAAAGCCGAGCCAGCTTCTCCCAGGGAAACCTTGGCTGTAACTCAAGGAAAGTTTAAGGGGAAACCCAAAGGGCCTTGGAATCCCAAGAAAGTTAAAGACCAAGACGGAAATGATGTGTTGGATTTGCCATGTCACATCCACACCAAGAAAGATGAAGAGGGTAAGTTCATTTACCCAAAACATACCACTCGACAGTGTCGGCTCTTGATCCAGCAGTTCCAGGGCAAACAACCCAAAGATAAAGAAAAGGAGTCGGACAAAGTTGAGGACAAGGAAGACAGTGATGATGGATACCCCCAGGTCAATTCCACCTTGATGATTTTTGCTGATGTTGAAAGCAAAAGTCGACTGAAAGTTATCAACCGTGAGGTGAATATGGTTGCTCCGGCGACACCCAGTTATCTGAAGTGGTCTTAGACTGCCATCACATTCGACCAGTCCAATCACCCAACGCACATTGCCACCCCTGGGAGGCAAGCTTTGGTGGTCGACCCAGTTGTTGAAGGCACTCGACTGACCAAAGTCTTGATGGACGGTGGCAGTGGTTTGAACATACTGTATGCTGAGACGTTGAAAGGGATGGGCATTCCGATGTCCAGACTCAGTGCCAGCAACATGAGTTTCCATGGAGTCATTCCTGGGAAGAAGGCTGATTCACTCGGCCAAATTGCTCTTGATGTGGTTTTCGGTGATTCCAAGAATTACCGCAAAGAAAAGTTGACGTTCGAAGTTGTGGATTTCCAAAGTGCTTATCACGCTATTTTGGGCAGGCCAGCTTATGCACGCTTCATGGCTCGACCATGTTATGTGTATCTCAAATTGAAGATGCCTAGTCGCAAAGGTGTGATCACTGTTACGGGCAATCGGAAGAAAGCAGAAGAGTGTTTTCAGAAAGGCTCAAAGATCGCTGATGCTCAGATGGCAGTGGTGGAGCTGCAGGAATACCAGAAGACTGCAGACCCGAGTGATTTGTTGCGAGCCAAGAAGCCCGCTACAGAATCAGCTTTTCAGTCGTCTGGTGAAACGAAGCCGGTTCACATTCACCCGACCGATCCCAGTGCTGCTCCGACTCATATCTCAACAACACTCGACTCCAAATAGGAAGAAGCGCTCATCCAGTTCCTCCGTGAGAACTGGGACATCTTCGCATGGAAGCCTTCTGACATGCCGGGTGTTCCCAGGGGGCTGGCTGAGCACCGCCTACGAGTCGACTCAAAGGTGAAACCTGTTAAAGAACATCTCCGATGGTCCACCGTCCAGGAGAGAAAGGCTATTGGTGAGG